ACATTCTAGGGCTCAATAAATATTTATTCTTTTCTCCAGCTGACTGTCTATATCAGTTTTGGTCCATTCTACCTAATTTTGCTGTTACTTTATTGATATGGTCTTGATTAGCCTACTAGACTATAAGTATGCAGGGACTATGTCTTTTGCTGTATTTCTGTTCTCCGGAATGTGAGGGAAATTAGCATGGAGGATGGAGAAAAAAAACTTAGAATTATTTTCCTTAAACATGACCCCGCCTATGAACATATGTAAGGGACTAGATTAAAGGCCAAGGAAGTAGTAGAAGCCACTCAGGATGGTTTAGCTGCTATGCAGAGCAGAACTGGATATTTTTTCAAATTTCTTTCTAGGATATTTGAGACTACATTGCAGTGATAAACACACATACACCATCACTAAAAACAAAAACAGGTAATCATGCCCACTCGTTTAGTCACATTTAATTGCTATGTTTCAGAACATTTGAAAACCCATGCTTGTCTTGGCACTTCCAAAAGGTGTACAGTATTAGGGAAGCCATACAGTATCAAACTTTAACACTCAGGAACATTGGATGGACATCACCTGGCGATGACTTTATTTCAAAGAAAGCGGATGACTTCTCTCAATAAACAGCGGCCTAAACAAGCAAGACATATTGGTTGACATAACATCGCTTCGCTGTCAAAGCGAGCTTTCTGTCTGTCACTTTTGGATAAAGGATTGTACCAACTTCTCTCTCCACTTGAACTCTTTTGCTTTTGTGAGATCTTTTAATTGTATTTACTTGAAAGAAGTAGTAGGAAGGTCCTGGAGAGATAAGAACTCTCCCTTTATTACTCTGTTCTGGAAAACAGAACAAAAATAGGTCGGTTCTTAAGGAAATGATGGCCGCATACATAAATAATGTAAACACTCCTATCACTGTCCTGGGAGGACATTTATCACACCGACAGCCACGGAAACCGACATCTGGCCAATAAACCGCTCCTGTGCTCAGCCCCCTCCTTACAGTGTAGAAATTTTGAGTTGCCAATTGGAAACTTGATTATTATCAGTCAAAAATAACCAGGGAACTCTGGCAATGATTGAACTTGCTTGACTTTCTTAAGCTAACAATTAACATTTTAGACTATTGTTGACAAAATATTTAACTTTCCCATACTGCGTGTGCAAACGACTTTCCTAATATTCCTTAGACACGCCTTTCCCAAGCTGCCCAGGTCCACGCAGGGACCTGTAAGAGGAGTGCATTCCGAGGCCCCAAACACTTTCGCAGCATAGTCCCTGCGAACTAGGACTTTCTGGGGCCTTCAGGAACACTTAAGCACACTGATATCTCCGTCTTATCTTGACAGCACTGTATTTGAAGCACCAATCCCTCTATTTACAATAAAAGCCATTTCACCATTTCAAACACTCAGCTGAAAGGATACTCTGAATCCCTGGAAAAACTGGTATTATGACCTGTTGTTTCGTAGTTTATCATTAGAAATACTAGCAATAATGCCTTGCATTTCTGCAGTGCTTTAATTTTTCCAAAGCCTGTTCGGAAACACACACTCATTGGCTTCCCTTAACAACCCAGGGCCGTGTTATTGTTCTCTCTGCTTTACAGATGACTGTTAAGTGGCTTGTCCTAGGTCACCCAGCTGGTAGTGATCAAGCAGGCACAGAACCGAGGATGCAGACCCCTCGTCTGATCTGCTTTCTTTCCTCCACACTACATTAGAGAGAAGATAATCTCTACAGCCAAAGATGACTTGGAACCACTTATCTCTCCATCCTAGCAACAGCGTATGCAACAGAAAAAGAGCTTGTCTCAGGCAAAAGGGAAAGATTGATAATGCACCACGGAAGCTCAAACTGTGCTGTTCCTTGGACCAGCAATTACTCAGTTTTACAGTTCATTCAGAGATTCAAACATACTTCCCCAGAAAATGATTTAGTGCCGAAAGCCTGCTCCCAGTGGTTAGAAATGCAGATCTTCTTTAAGCCCTACAATCCGGGCCCTCGAAAAGGCCCTGTTCCTGCAGTCCCTGCAGCCATGGGGCTTCCCCTGAACTTGTACTTGAGCTAAATGAAGAAACTGGCTGAGTAAGGGCTGCAGATTTAGGCTGTCAATGTGGACAGAATTAGAACTGGCTTGGAGGTTATTCTTGCATTGTTCTTGCATCTTAGGCTATTAAAATAACTCAGACATTGTATATTTCTTGCAGTATAACACTCCTCAAAGTCAACACTATCTCGTGGAACACAAGTTCCCCTTTCACCGTCATTCAGATATTACCGACTATATACAAGGCATTGTGCTAGCAGGTAGGCAGGATACGGAGCTTTCAGATGAGGACACAGTGCGTATCTGACTTGAGTTGGTCAATATTCTCTGCCTTTCTCCAAAGGGTGTTTATGGCCACTTATGAGATACCAATTAATGATTAAAGTGATACATTCAACACACCCAGACAGAAATAAATCTGGTTACGGACACCACCGCAATACAATGAAGAAGGCACTCTGACACTTATTCTGCACAAAAGGCCCCTTTAAATTCATAGTGTTTTGGAAAATAAGAGGAGCAGGAGTGAGGCGAGACCTACAGGTCTAATGGGCTTGGTGAATCGCTCCCAAACGCCCAGACCCTTCGCACACAATGTTATCAGGTTAATACAGTACTTGCATCACCATCGCTGAGTGCCATGCTGAGCAACAAAGCACCAAATTTAGAAGCTAAAATGGAGAAGGGAATTTCCAATAACCAAAGGGGGGTGTGGGGGGGGGGGAGTATTACCCCTTGCAATGCCACACATTTTCAATGAAAAACAACTATTAGAAATGAACTGCTCTTTTGACCCCTAACTCACACGGCCCCTCTCATCATCACTGGCTGGTGGTTAGGAGAGAGCACACGGGAGGATTCCCGCTGAGACCAGGAGTGGGACAGCGGCCACCCCTGCCTTCTGCAGCACTAAAGCCTTCAGTTGGGAAAGGCCAGACACTGTGCTCTCACTTCCTCCCGCCGTGGCTATTGCTAATCGTGAAGTTACAATCACTGCTGAAGTTGGTTTCATTTCGCATCCCAAAACCCTCAAGTGAAAAAAAAGAAAAAAAGAAAGGCAGCCTCATCTTACTTCCAAGTGGGAGAAAAGCAAAAGCCAGAAGAACAAGGCCATGAGCAGGCGCGCCGCCTTCCTTGCCGAGGCTGGGATGCGAGGGACACATCCAGGCTTGGCACCCAGAACAGAGGTCAGTCTTCTCCACTGAGCAGGGCTGGGCGCCCCGGTCCCTGTATCATCCCCAGAAACACTTACCAGGAGACCGGGAAGCACACAAAGCCGTATTATTGGGAGACTTGCAGACAGATTATAAATTTACTGGGGACAATCGAGGCATTTAGATACTTTTGGCTGCAGATGCTGGTGACACACACATGCATACAAACCTCATTCTTCTCGCCATTGGAGTGACTTTCTCGGCCTCTCCCCCCACCCCCGCCCCCCTCACCTCAGCATCTCTCCTCCACAAAGCAAACTCCCCTAGCTCTCAGAGGGAATTCCAGGGAGAGGTGGGGACAGAGCAGGTGGCAAGGAGAGGACATGAGTCTTTGAAGCTCTAACAGAACCCCACAAACCAATTTTGCTCAAGGATAAAGCAGCAAACACTGGGCAATTTAACTGCTAGCAGTTATTTTTCATCTGGAGTCGGCGCCAGGAAGTTGCAGTTCTAGGCATCCCAAGCAAAAAGTGTGCCTGTGGCCGGGGGGAGAGCACCCTCCTAGGCCCCTGAGTTTCTGGAAACCATCCCTACAGGGATAAGGGGGAGCGACAGAGAAGCGTGCTATGGGCCCGTCTGTAGGGTGTCCCCTGCCTAGAGCCCCTTTTCAAACTCTGTTGGAGAAGTTCAATGTAGCGCCCTCCTTCCTTTGGGCTTTTTGAGTACTTTTCGGCTGGCCTGGCTATTTCCTGTTGCTGACTTTCATTAGGGCTGACTTGGGCGAACTGGAGCTGTGCTGTGAGCAGACCCAGGACGCAGGAGCTCAGAGATGGAAGGAGCTGGTGGGGCTGCGGGGCTGCAGGGCTATGGGGCAGGGCTCCACCTTCTCCCCAGAGGCCGGTGGCCCAGCAGCTTGGGGGAAGCTTGCACATGGCAAGCAGTCACCTGACCAGGACTGGCATCCAAAAACCAATGAGTCAAGGGATACTCCCTCTGGGACTGGGTGGATCTGTGCTTCCAGGGGAAGAACTTCCAGCCAGGAACCTGATCAGAACTTTCAGGTTCGATGCCCTGTCGCCAGAAGTGGCTGAAGACAAGCCACTTCCCAGGATGACAGCTTGTCCACAGCCCCTCGGTGCCTGCCCACTTTAATGAACGCGGTCATTTGTCACTCGCCGAGGGCGGTGTCTATGAAAAGCAGCTTGGAGAGAGGGCTGGGGGAGGCTATAGAGAATCAGGGAGTAGGTCTCTGAAAACGATTCCCTCGCTGGTCTGGGATAGTCCCCTCCACATTCTGTTTTGTACTGAGGGGACCCTCAGGCACCTCTCTGTTGCCGATCACCTCTTGGGTTCTCTGGAAGGGGCCACCTCAGAGGCAGGAGGGGAAAGGGGCCGTTCAACTGACCAATGTTTTCAGGCTGAAGACTGGCTTGTTGGGCCTAATCAGAGCTGACTAGCCCAAGCTGGCGCATCCCCGGGACCTGGCCTTCCTCGGCGGCTCAGATCTTGCCAGGCTGTAGCCACCTCCTCTACAAGCTGTGGCCTCCGGGAGCCTCTGAACACTCGGGCTTCTCACCACGTAAGGAACACCCTCCACGTGGAGGAAAACCCGTGCGTGCGCACCCGCAGAACTTGCTGAGTAAGAGGATAAACCACACACTAGCACACCCATGGCCTTCGAGGCTGTCAGGTGACACCTGGGCCCTTCTCACCGCCCACCACTCCGCATCAGGCCACGGCGAGCTCTCCCCTCCCACTAGGCCACACGACCACAGCCAGAATCATGAGAAAACCAGGTGCCTTACCGCAATCAGGGCCGAGTTCCGCTGGTCCCCGGGGGTGGACGCTGGGGGTTGCTGCTCACCCTCGATCCCACCGCCGCCACCATTATTGCCGCTGCCGAGCAGGTGCTGCTGGTGGTGATGGTGATAGTCCGGCGGGGGCGGTGGGGCCCCTGGTGCTTGGGCGGCTGCAGGAGGGGCGGCGGGGGGCGGCGGCGGGGCTGCAGGGGTGGCAGCCGCTGCGGTGGCCTTGGCGTGCTTGCCCGTCTTCCTGGCGCCCTGGCCATGCTGGACGAGGCTCAGGAGCTGCAAGGTGCTCTCCCGCTCCCGGTCTGAGCTCTCAGCTCGGCCTCGTTCATAGCGGCCTTCACAGCTCAGGTGGTGCTGGCGGCAGACGGCGATGCGAGCCCGCAGGCGCTCCACGATGGCACTGTGCACTCTTGGGGTGACGGAGCCCCCTCCCAGGAGGCCCGCCCCGGGGGCCGCCCCTAGCCCTCCTGTGGGGGCCTGCGGGGGCGCTGTGTCCCCCATCTTCGTGGACACAATGATTGCTGCCTCTGGGATGGTGGGGTGGAAGGAGGCGGCCGCTGGCTAGTGCAGGCGAGTCTGTTCTTGACAATGTGGGCTCAGTGCTCAGGGCCACATGAATAGAGGTCTTCCGAGGTTTTGGGGGGGAGCAGTGGAGAAGGGGTGGGGGAGGGGCGTTGGTAAAAAGAGGACGAGGAGCAGGAATAGAAGAAGCCGGTGGTGGCGGAGGATGAGTGGGAGAGGAACCCCGATCGACTTACTCTGATGGCATTTGACAGCTCTGCACAAGTTAGACGGTGTCGGTGGGGTCCCCCCGCACCAAGCGGACAAGAGCCCCTAAGTACTTGGTCACCGCACCGCCGGGGGTTATAGAGCAAGAACTGAGGGATTGCCCGGCCAGAGGCAGGAAGAGGCAGCGGAGGGGACCGAGAAGGGTATGAATCCAGAGCCCGGCTGCCCCTCACCTAGTTGTTGCCGCAAATTTGTTAAGGGGATGTTTCTGCAGAGAAACGCATTTCGACCACCATGTGGGCAACCCGCAGCCTTCACTTTTCCTCCGGTTAAAAAAAAAGAAAAAAGTGCTGTTTCAGGAGGTTCCTGAAGTCAATGTTCAAACCGCACAAACATCGAGAGAGACTTCTGTCTTTTGGCTTCTCATTCCTCCTCCCTTCCCCTTGCCCCGGTGTGTTCTCCTCTTTGGGGGACAGTGGGGTGTCTTCTCCCAAAGGAGGGAGCCGGCTTCTCAATGGTTCGCAGTGTCAGTCCCTGGACTTTCAGACCATGCTGTTCTGTCCGGCGGATCCGGTCCCCGGCGCAGCCCTCATGCCTCTAGGTTTCCCAGCCTCACCGGAGAGCGAGCGGTCTGAAGTCCCGGCCACTGAGATCCTTCAACACATTCTCCCCCCTCGCCCCGCGTACGCTTCTGTTCCTCGCCCCCGGCTCTATTCTAACACAGGATCCGGACAGACAAACTCTTGCGAGAGTAATTTACAAACGAGGGTCCAACTTACAAACTTCCAGCAAATCGCACCGAGTCGGGTCCGGCCACTTGGCTGCCCACTTTTGTACATTCCATCCCGGCCAGCGGATCTGAGGGTCTGGACTCGCAATAAGCAATGTGCTTCTTCTCTCTCGGGTATTGCTCCGCTTGATCGGTGGAAGAAGAAAAAAAAAAGTAGCTTGTATTTTCCTTTCTCTTTCCCGTCTGTTGTTGGCCGCTTGGCTGACACTGGCTCCGCTGCCCGGAGTCACGGCGATACACAGGCTTTCATTGTGCTCCGATAGCAGAGGGAGAGAAAGAGAGTGAGACAGAGAGGGAGAGAGAGCGAGAGAGCCAGCAAGCTGCAGATGGGGGGACGGAGGGGGGCGGAGGGGCGGGCGGGAGAGCGAATCCGGGGCTCCCTGGTGGAAGGCTGGTGCCACTGCACGAGTGAGTAATTGCCGCCGGGCTCCGGGGAAAGGGGGCGCAGAGGGCCTCCCAGTGGCTGAAGAGGTAAATCCCAGGCCTGCGTGTCTCCGCGCTCAGCTCAGCTCAGCTCAGCTTCAGCCTCAGCCTCAGCCCCAGCCCCAGCCTGGGCTGAGGGGTAAGGCCCGGGAAATTCCCTAACCTCTGCACAACTACCTCATCAGCTGTAAATGTTTAAGAAATCCCCGGCCAGGGGATGTATTTTCCCTCTCGGACCTACCTTATGCCCCCCCCTGAGATATCATTTTCATTTTTCAATATGTTGTCAATGACACCCCTGAGCACCCAGCCAGAGCGGGGTGAGCTCTGTGTGACTGCGTGCCTGCGGGGCTTGGGGGTGGGTGGGGAGAGCGGGGTGGAGAGGAGAGGAAATCACACCCACAGCTCCTACAGGCAGGCAGGTATCTTGTCTACCTTCCTGTGTGCCTCTGGGCCCGGGTGATCAAGCAAACCAGACCAACAAAATATTTTAGGATGAAATTACCAATACTCGTTCTGGTAAAGAAAAAAGAAAGATTTTCCTTGAAAATACAAGCGTGCCAATGACACCAATGCATGGCTATCTGGTTTACATATGTCAGGAGGGAAATCAATGTGTTGTAGCAGGTGAGTTTCAAGAAGTTGAAGGACACAAGCCAAACAGGTCTCTCACACAGACTAATGTCCCCTCATCTTCAGGTGACCCTACCTTTAGGATCCCAAACTATACATTGAATTCTGCTCGTCGTTACTAGCTATGGAGGACGTTAAAGTGAACACAATATTGGCATGGTGGGGGCCATAATTACTCTGTGTCATTGGAAGTCATTGGATTTCAAGCCTCAAGCAATGGTGCTTTATTTACACCAACTCTGGCATCACAGTAACATGGTCCTGCTTCAGACTGAAACGTGCATAGAAATGAGTGGGTAAAATCAATGCCAACATTTAAAGGCAATTTATTTACAAGTTGGTTCCAGATAAGCTGGCCTACTTTAGTCCGTTTTATTTCCACAAATCTGGCAATGTTTGGAATTGAGGACAAGTACACTCTGATGGAATATAACTTTTATACTTTTCCCTGGAACATACTTCTCTCTGTCCTTCACAGGCTAAGCTCCTCACCGCTCTGTGGAGAAAGGCAGAATTCTATCTTGGTTGGTATGCAAATTTGAATGGAGAACTCTCTCAGGAGGTCTTGATAAAAAGTGAAGGAGTTTTGATCATTTTATATTTGATTTTTAAAAAGTTGTATTCATTAGACATTCTCTCTTCTGGTACTATGGATACTTTGTATTCAACAACTATACATGATAAATGAAAAAACATGTAATATTTAAATTTAACACTTACTCTTCACTCTAGCGTGCAGTAGCATGGGTTTTGATTAATAACACAAATCCTTGGTCAAGTCCACTATTCCTAAATGATGTCAACTTTGGTTTCCATGTTATACAGGGGCATCTTAAAAACTTCTCAAGCAAGAGTTTAACACATTTTCATTCTCTACTCCAGTGGTGTAGGACATTCTGTAGGGTGTCTCTGCACACATTTACCTTTACAACCATTTAATTTCAAGCTGACATCATTATCATCCACATCTGTTACTATTTATTTACAATCACTGTTTCAGGCACAGGGCTTAGTATATATTTCCCTTAATACACAAACAATTCAGAAAGATAGGTATTATTAACCCCATTTATAAATGAAGAAACTGGCTCATCGGAATTAAACTACTTGTTCCAGTACATGTAACTGGGAAAAAACAGACTAGGACTTGAACTCAAGACTGAGTTCAACTTACGCTTTCTTAACCACTGGGCTTACTGCTTCAATATCAAGTGTGAAAAGAGTTATAGGGAAGCCAGACTATCCCCCAAAATAGCTCAAGGGCTGCAATTACACCTCAATCAACATGCTGGAGTCTAAGCGAGTCCCATAATACCGCCAAGAAATGAGTAGTGAATAGAACTACTCATCTGAATATGAGAGCAGACAAAATTGGTCAATTACATCCAACTCCCCATAAAATAAATAATTATTTTTCCCTTTTTTATGGTGCTTTCCCCGCTTATAACCCTAAAGCTTCTGAATAACCTTATACATTCTTTCAAGCATTACTTCCCTTTTGTCCATTCTGTCTTTCTCATCATCTCCACTATCCATAGCTACCTAACACTAAAGCATCTAACACTACAGTAATAAATGCCCAAATCTGAAAAGTTCACAGGCATGTGAGATTTTTAAGTTTACAAACTATTTCTTTTTAGTGTTATATTGAAGAATGATATCAATGATGATGATAACAATAATATAGTATGTCATAATACCTATAAAAGTTAATTCTATTTTTCAACATTTCTGGTTTTCTATAGATTCTTGCTTTTGGCTCCCTAATCTATACTAATTCTTATTTCCTAACAGCCTGTCGTCTTTGTCATGTTGGCTGTATCAGGCACTAAAAGCCTCTTGTATTCTCTCTCCAAACACCTACCGAAGAAGCTTGCTCATTTGCAATGACCTCACACATCAGCAATAAGGTCTGGACTCCTCACATGAGACATCAGCATTGGTATTTTCACCACTTTGTGGGCTTTTGCTACCTGTTTTGTTTACAATAATAGGAATAATTTCAAAAAATTGCAGAAAATATTAAGTAATCTTGATGAAAGGACTAAATAACATGTAGCATTTTATGTATGCAGCTACATTGAAGTCCATGAAATGAACCACATAATGAAGCCAGGTTCAACCAACATTTGAAGAAACAAGTATCTAAAATTGCAGTAAAATAGAACTTGCTGGAACATCACTTTTAGGAATTAAAGAAACAGATAGACAGTCCATTTGTTCACTCTGAAACCATTTTACTTTTATTAAATTATGGAAACATTTAGATGTGCAAAGCAATGCAGATGCCAAAGTATACTTTTAAAATATATTTGGCTGAATCTATCTCTCTGAGATCTTCTGATCCTAACAGAAATAGTTATATTATAAAATTATTGTTAAAAAGCAATAAAATACATCTTAATTATTAACACATAGACAAAATTGAACAGAAAAAAGGAAAACATTGCGAAGCATGAAAATACATATTATGAAATTATTCCTGAATATGAAGATTAAAACTCTGGAGGCCTGAAATTTATTTCTAAGGGAAACTTTAGAAAAAGAAAAAATTACTATAGTCTGATTCTGAGGCAAGGGCATTGAACTGAATGAAACACTGAGGTCTATTCCATGGCCAACTGATTTACATGATAGCAGTAAAAAATAAATTAGTGAAAATAGGATAACAAACACATCTGGGCAGGGATTCAGCAATACATACATGTTAATGTTCATCAGCAATATATACATGTCGATATTAGCAATACATACATGTTGATGTTGGTCTAAGTACATTTTAAAAATACAGTATTTTTCTATTAAATTGACAGGACATGAACATTTATTCACTTGATTGATAATCATCTGTTATAAAGATATTAACTTCAAAATACATTTAAAAGTGATTAGGCTTATGTTTTCTATGTATAGCAAATAAAAGTTTATTAGACTGTAGAGTACCACTTCATGGAAATTAAGATGAACATGTTTTAAACAAGATACTTTGCCATGAAGATATACAGAAAATATATGAATACGTCACATGATACAGACAAACAATATTCATGATCTTCACATCTACAGGAATTCATAAAATCTTCTCTGAAGAAAAGGTGTTACATTGCAAACTTCTCATCTTGAAAGTAATCCGCATTATCGAGATATCTTTGAAGTAGATCATATTTCTGTGTATACAATAAAAAAACTAGTTATTTTACTTAAAGGAATGGAGGTAAGCTAGGCCTTTTCAATCTACAAACAGGAACAGGAACAATTTCATTTCATGGTACTCATGAATAAAAATATTTTAATATAAAAAGGGACAAAATTTCTAACTCACATAAAGCATTATTATTAATTTCGTAACTTTCTTGCAAACTATGTATTTTTAATATATTTATTGTAGAAGTGTAACAACTTCAATAATTTATTCAAAAATTTGTTGAATGCATAACATATATCAAATCCTCTGCTAATGACGATCTAGGTACAAAAATATTGCTATTCCTACCCCTAATGAGAACAGAGTTCAGTAGCAACAGACCAATGACAACCAATAACCAATGCCATAAAGCAGACAGACACTGTTCTGAGGCTTCAGAAGAGGGAGCATGGTTAGTTGAGGTGACCAGAAAGAATGGCATCGAAGCTGTCCTGGGAAAAACCATTTGGTAGCAGAGGTTTGGTGGGAAGAGTTCAGTAGGAGACAACAGTGACAAGACGAAGTATGGGATTTTACTATGATCAGGTTTTTTTAGAGGAATCGAGAGAGATAAGACTGAACCAAAGAGGTTGAGGTCAGGAAATAAAAAGTATGAAACGCTAGGTTAAGGAGTTCAGCACTAGTATGACAGGCCATGGAAAGTTATTAAAGGTGTTAAGGCAGAAGATTGACATGGTCCAAGGTATATTTTTTTTAAGTAAAACATCCATTCTGGAAGAGTTTGGCAAGTAGTCTACTGCAACAATTTAAGTAATAAGGGCCCAAATCTGAGTGACAACAATGAAGAAGGAGAGTAAAGATAAGGTTCGAATGAGAGAGAGAGGAGTCAGGATGATTTGGAGATTTCAAGGTGATAGAGTTCCCAGTGCTTACCTCAGTTGGGAGATTAACTGACTAATGGTTTCTTAACTCTACTTATGAACTTTGATTCTTCTCCCAATGAGGTGATGACCCTGACTTTTGTAGTAAATGGAAGGTTCCAGATAGGGGCATGGAACCTTCCCCCTACTCACAAAGATCTCTGACTCGAAAAGAAGAACAGCAGAAATAACCTACGGACTACG